CACACACACACACACACACACACACACACACACACACACACACACACCCCACCCTGCGAGCAGCAGCTAGGTGGCACAGTGGATAAAGCACAGACTTAACAGTTTTAGAAAGACATGAGTTCAAATCCTATCTTAGATACTTAAGTCACTTAATCTCTCTGTGCCTCAATCTCTTCATATGTAAAATAGGGATAATAGCATTTACCTCAGAGAGCTCAAATGAGATCAAATGTACACTATGTAAATGCTAGCTATTATACACACATATCTTATGATGGTATTTTTAAAAAGTGTTTTGGAGAGTACCACATAAAAACATAATTTTTTTTTACTTTGTCTCAAACTTTAAATGCTGTAAAAATTAGTTGTTATTTACATATTTCCAGAGAAAATGATTATAATGCTACATATACCATATTTACTGACCTCTCTGAATGTTGAAGGATGTCTTAAACCTAATGTTAGTTAGGCATGACCTATTTTTTGGTACCAAAGATTTTTATTAATTTCAATGGGAATTAGCAGAACAAAATCAATTGTAGAGAAAGTTACCTAATAGAGGGATACTATTCTATTTATTATTCCCAACCCCCCAAGGCCATATTTAATATAATCAAAATCTGTGAACTTAGGAAGCATCTTTTAGCTAAACTAATACCTATAATACTCTCATGAAAACAGATAGAAAATTGCTTATGTAGCCAAGACCAATCACTTTTTAATACAACTTGAGTTACAAAAACTTGCAAAACCCAGCTTCTTAAATTTAATGTCTTTCCACAAAATTAAATACACTGGCACAATAAAATCTCATTAATTTGTATTCTGTTAATTTGAAATTTGAGATAAATTTGATTTGTTCTGGGCTGAAGTTAAGTCTTTGTATTTTTTCTTTTTTTTCTTTCTTTTTCTTTAAGGCAATTGGGGTTAAGTGACTTGCCCAGGGTCACACAGCTAGTGTCAAGCGTTTGGTCTGAGGCCGGATTTGAACTCAGGTCCTCCTGACTTCAGGGCCCGTGCTCTATCCACTGCGCCACCTAGCTGCCCCAGTCTTTGTATTTTCTATAAAGGCTACTACTAGCTATTATAAAGAACAAGCTACCTAAACAACTTCAAAAGAAACAGAAGCCTTTAACATATTGCTATATATTCTTCATTATAAGACTAATTTTATTCATGTACACAAAGAAAGCTACTTGGAGTTTATCAAAAGTTTGTTTCAATTATCCTATAGTTAAGTTTAACTCAATTTTGTGATTTTTAAAAAAAGTTACATGATTGACATACAGAAATGATATTTGGGATGTGTTTCTTAATGGGAGATGACATCTAAGCAGCTTAATGCTTTTTAACAAATATCTTGATAACTTGATTGCAGAAATATAGGACCACAGCACGGCTAGATCAAGTGAAGGTTTTTAAAGGATGGCAGAAAGATGGATATATTTGTATAGCGGGGAAGTTGCCAGTAGACAAAGGAGACATTGAAGACTGGGGAGGGAGGGATGATTATGACAGCAATTTGCTGGAGAAGATGGGAAAGAATGGGTCAAAGAGCATGCTGAGGAGTTTGCCTTGGAAAGAGAATGGCCACCACTGTGTGTGAGACGGGTAAAAAAGGAGATATTGGGGGCACACATCTGAATGATGTGAGATGATAAAAGGGAAGAAGGTAGTCTCAGTAAATGGTGTTGGTATTGGCCAGAGAAGATTGCCTCTTTTTCAGAGACACTGGAGTAAAAGAGGAGAGAGAAAACAGAGTACGTCAAGGAGTTTTGAAATGTAGAGAAGGGGAAAAGAGGGTATTGGCCAATGATCTCAATTTTTTAAGTATGAGACAAGATCCTCAGCTGAGAGAATAGGGTAAGGCAGTGGTGTGGGAACCTTGGAGAGAAATTTTGAGCAGACATTATGGGGAGTGCACTAGAGAATCAATTCATCAATACTTATGTTGATGGTCTGAATGACAATTCCCACCTCTATGTCTCCAGCTTTAGTTTTCCCTTTTAGCTAACAGATGATAAAAGAATGAGAGGAGGATTCTGAAATCTAGTACAACATAGACTACAAGAAACATCTCTAAAAATTTAAAACAGAAAATTTTAAATCCTAGGATGTACTTTAGGATTTGGAAAATATAATATATGCTGGTATAAATACATTCTAACACAATGACGAGAACACATAATGGTCACTCAAATCCTTTAGAATGGTAAATTGATTTTTAAAAATAGTATGATTCTCCCTCCAATGCTTAATTACCAGTTTCTCTGTGTACACACCCCTCCTCCCCCTTCTTAAAGTTCATATATGAGAGTAAGAACATGAACTAGCCCTCTAAAATAGTTCTTAACTTTTGTATCATGGACCTCATGGACTCATTTGGCAGACTGGTGAAGCCTACGGACCCTTTCTCAGAATGTTTTTAAATACGTAAAATAAAATACACGGGATTTAAAAAAACCAATTATACTGAAATGCAGTCACAAAAATTTTTTTTTTAAAAGTTCATGGACTCAATGTTAAGAATCCTGGCTACAGGACCCTTCCTGACTTTTTCTTTATAGAATTTGATAACTTATAATTATACAAAATATATCACGAACATAATTTACAATATTGGTTCAAACTCTTATAGTTGTTACTCATTAAGGATGTGCCTAGATTCACAAACTTAAGTAATAGTTTTACTGTAATATAAGAAAACTTGTAATTTAATGGGACCCCCCTCCCCACCTCCGGCAGTTAGTTCTTGACACTTAGCAGGGAGTCAGAGGCTCAGGGAACCTCTTTGCCACCATCTTTTATTTGTTTTTATCCACCTCAGCTTTTTTGTAGCTACCTGGACAGCTGCCTCTACCTGTGGGCACTGGAACAGGTTTTTGTAAAAGGGCTGTTTGTTGGACTCTGAAGCCCCAAGTGACCCACTGGACCTGATTTGGAATAGCACCCTGGGACTTCCACCAATTAAGCATAGTCCATTTCAAACATGTAAAACATTGAGAAAAGAGTTGCATTTATAATTAGGTGAGTGACCATTTAGATATGCCACTTATACAGATACTCTATTATTACTAAATCTGCTCTGAGAATCTAGCTATTGTTTAAAGATATGTGTCACTGAGACAGACGTCAATTAAAGTAACTTGAGTCAGACTAGAGACAAGTTGAATTATGAGATATACCACCATCAACTTTCCTAAAATTAGGGTTTATTGCTATAATAAATGTTCCATTATTTTGGCTATACAGGTGAAGGAAAACTCAGCATATAAAAGAGGATTTTAAGTACAATTCTGATATTTTTTATGCAGTATCAATTTTCATCTTTTGTAAGACCCAATCCGAATTATGGTGCCTAGAGTGTATTAACTCCCAGGGCAATCTCCCTTCTTTTTTGGCTTACTATATCTTCCTCTTCTCCAAACTTCTCACCTTCCACTAGGAGACTAATGTTCACAGACAGTTCTTCAAACTCCCAATTCCTCAGCCTCCTTAAATCCAATTACCTATACACCATTCTATTTCAGTCACACAAATATGGTCAAACACTTGATTCCACCATTACTGAGAAGCGTTCCACTTCCCTAATTAGAAATTTACACTGCTTTATCTCAACACAATTTCATATCATTCCACCTCTCCCTGTGTCTCACTTCTTCTAAACCTATTCTTTGCTCTCACTGAAAAATCAAATCCCTCTCCCTTCTCCCCAGTACGTTCTCAGTCTGTTACCCTCATTCTGAATTCATTTTTTTTACCTCTCCAACCTCAACCCAATTTAATGCTACCCCACCCTCTTACCTCTTAATCCTAGCCCCATGTCCTATCACTGCTCATCTCTTACTAAACTTGATTATTCCAGCCCTTGATTATTCCAATCACCTGATTCCTCTATTCGTAAGCACAACCTGAACACAACTGGCAGTCTCATAACTGTGCTGATGAGGTTCTTTACAAAATTAAGCAATCTAACTTCAACTCTATCCTCACTGAATCAAGGTAGTCTTTTCATTGGTATCTAATCCCTAATTGATACCCTATCTCACTCCCCACAAAACCTACTCCAAACCTTTTCTTCCCTCCTTAAATCTCCCATACCTCCCTGTCCACCCTCCCCTCAGGTGAGGACCTTGACTCCTATCTTACTGGAAAAAACAAACAAACAAACAAAAAAAACAAAACAAAACTAAGGCCATTTGCTGTGAACTCCTCTTTTCCCATTCTCTTTATCTCCATAGCCTTTGACTTCCTTTCTTTCCCCTTAGTCTAACAGTCTCCATGGCAAGACCAACCCCCTCTACAGTGCAACTGGACTCCATCCCTTTTTATTTTCTCCAGTAGATTTCATCCTCAATAGTCATCCTCCTTGCTCAAAGTCTTCAACTTCTCCCTATCAACTACTTTAAAATATGTCCAGGTCTTCCTTTGCCTTAAAAATAAACAAAAAAACTCTCTCAAACTTTCACTGGACTCATTCTCCCACTGCCCCATCTCCATCCTATATTCCCCTTTCCCTTTTAAAACAAAATCCTAGAAAAAGCTATCTATGCTCACTGCTTTCACTTCTCCTTCATTAACTTCTCAACCATAGTTTCTGACCTCATTCTACTGAAATTGCTCTCTCCCCAAAGTTACCAAATCTGATATACTTTTTTCATCTTCATCCTTGACCACTCTGTTGCATCTGACACTTTTGACCACCCTGTCTCCTGGATACTCTCACCTTTCTGGGTTCTTAAAATACTACTCTCTTCTGGTTTTCTTACTACTTATCTAGCCTCTCTTTAGTTGCCTTTGCTGGTTCATCATCCAAGTCACACTAAGTGTGGATGGTTCTCCAAGGTATTCTCCTATGCTCTCCACTCTTTCCCCTACACTCACAGTATACTGAGCTTCGATCTCATGTCACCAACTGTTTACTGGACATTTCAAACTTCAATGTCCTGAAGATATCTTAAACTCAATGTATACAAAAAAACCCCCATTATCTTCCTCCTTTGTTAAATCCTCACCTCTTCTCAGCCTATTTACGTCAAAGGCATCATCACCTTTTCACTCTCCCAGGTTTATAACCTTGCTCTCCTGGACTCCTCACTGCCCCATAGATCCAAATTCAATCAGCTGCCAAATCTTAATGTGTCTATCTCCACAATATCTCTCATATCCAACTTCTCTCCACTAAACCATCTTGGTTTAGGTCCTCATCATATCTACATTAGATTATTTCAACAGCCCCCAATTGGTCTCCCTACCTTAAGTCTCTCACAATTCCAATCTATCCTACATACTGCAGCAAAAGTAATTTTTCTTCAGTGCAGATCTGACCATGTGACTCTCCTACATAATCAACTGTAGTGACACCCTACTGCTTCTAGAATAAAATATAAACTGTTTAGCTTTTAAAGCCTTTTGCAACCTGAACCTAACCTACACTTCCAGCCTCACTGTATATGGCTCCTAGTCCTGTACTCTGTGATTCAAATAAAAAGGCCTTTTCTGTTCACGTATGAGCCTTCACACCTTTGCACTGGCCATCTCTTCCCATACTTGAAACATACTCTGTCCTTACCTCCACCTCAAAGAATGTCTTTTTTTCCTTTAAGTAGATCAAGCACCCTGTTCTGTATGAAACTTTTCCTGATTCTTCCACTCACCCCAATTGCTAGTGCCCTCATTCCAAATTACTTGTATTTAACGTTTTATATTTATCCATTTTGTATTTATGCTGTATGTATTTATAGTTGTATTTGTCCTTCCCATTAAAATGTAAGTTCCTTGAGAGTAGGGAATTGTTTCATTCTTAGGGCTTGTATCCCCAAAGCCTAGCACAGTGTTTGGCACACTGTATGTGCTTAAAAAAATCTGATCAATAACAGTATTAATTTTCTACTTAGAATCATGTAATTTTAAGAGATGTAAGGGATCTTATCCGCCCTACTCAAATAAGAATTCTGTCCACAATATCCTTAACACACGGTCATCAGTGATAGGGAATTAACTGGGCATACTAAACTGGATGCAGTAACCAGCATGTGATCAGGATATAGGGACTACCCTCCTGTGCTCCTGACGCTCAACTTCTATTACCATAGCTTATGATCCAGTTTGCCCTTTGGAGAACAAATGACACTTTGTATTATACAGCTTAAACTTGTAGGCTATTAAAACCTCTACATCTCTTTTCACATAAAATTCAGTTTAGCCATGTCTCCCCTCATCTTCTATTTGTATAATTAATTTTTTGAACTTAAGTGCAATGCTTTTACATACTTGAACAGATCTGTAATTATTATTATTATTATTGTTATTTTTTAGGCAATTGGGGTTAAGTGACTTGCCCAGGGTCACACATCTAATAAGTGTCAAATGTTTGGTCTGAGGCCAGATTTGAACTCAGGTCCTCCCTGACTTCAGGGCTGATGCTCTATCCACTATGTCACCTAGCTGCCCCTGTATCTGTAATTATTAATACAAATGTTCTTTCAAAGAAACAAGTCCTGTGACCTGAACAGCAAATATTTTCTGTGAAAAACTACCACTACAATAAAATATGGAAAATCGTAATATTCTGTTTTTTTGTGCACAAATCTTTCAGGCTAGTCTAGGAACAATATGGCTATTGTACTTATTTGTTATTTTTTTTCCCCAATGTGACATAATAATACAGCACTTACCCTGCTTTCTTCTAGGCTATCAAATGGACCTGGTGGATCATCCAGACAAAGAAATTCTCTCACTGCAAGGCTTTTCAAAGAAAAAGAAAAACCTATCAGATTGAGTATACCAAAATTCATACAAGATAGAAAAATGGACTTTGTAGCAAACATTTTATATATGTACATGCATGTATACACACACACACACACTCAAAGTATTACGACACAATGCCATTTGTTTGTTTATTTATTACAGGTCATTAAGACATACCCCTAAAAGCAAACAGCCTTACATATGGTCTAACTTAATGGTTTCACATAACCATATCTAGCAAAAATATGAAAACCTTCCAACTTCAACCACACACACACAGAACTTCTTGGTGAGCACAATACACATTATCTGTTAAGTATGTTTGAGAGTCATCTGCATTTTGTATCTTATCCTCCTATAAACTCCACATCTGCAGGGATTATCCTCTTCATTTAAACTCTGTATCTTTCCTAGTGCCTAGCACAATAATCTATACAGAGATGCTTGTTGAGTTAAGGACTATACAACATTGGTCCAGACCTGTGGTTTTACTGAATAGGCAGCTCCTAATAAAGAAACACCCTCAATGAGTCTGCAACTGTCCTGCAATTTATAGTCTAAAAGGAAGTGGCCTAAAGCAGGGAGAGGGTAAATGACTTGCCCAGGGAAACAATTAGAAGCTAGATTTGAACCCAGTTATACTGATTCTGAGGTTGACTCTATCCACTAGGCCATGATGCACTTCTACCTCAACAGTCCTCCATGTGCCCCATACTTTCATTTTCCAACTTCCTGATCTCTCCACTTTTGTACCAATCACCGCTCAGTTATAACTTAAATGTTACTGAGGCCCCCACAGTGGCACCCATGTAAGTGCCATTCGCAAATTTCTCACCCTCCTCTCTCAGAATACCTCTGCCTATGGTAGGTTTCTTTTAGAAGGTGGGCTATGGCTCCTGGGAAGCTCCCCTCTTTTCATTTAGGGTAGGACAGAGTGAGGACACTCCAGGTGGGACAACAACAAACATGGAGAGACTGCAGTATGCTTGGCAGGGCTTACTACATTATCTTTCTCCCTAAGCCCACCCCTACTCTGAATGTCTATATTTCTGATGAGGGCAAACACAACGCTTTTAGTCATTCAGGTTCCTAATCTTGGTATGACCTTTGATAGCTCTCTCTTGTTCATTCCACGTATCTAATTAGAGTACCTGCAAAACACTGTACTTCATTCTTTACGTATCTCTTACTTTTGTCCACTTCTCTTTACTCATACAGCCACCTTGTTTAGGACCTAGTTAGTTCTTGTCTGTACACCTATAATAGCCTTCTAATTGATCTCCATGCCTCAATTATCTCCCCACTCCAATCCATCCTCCACATAAATCTGAGACTGTATTATTCACCTACTCAATAAACCCCAGCTGTTCTTACTGACTCTAGGATTAAAATGTTACTTCATTTTTATTTTTGTGTTTATGTTTTATAATCATCAGCACAGAGTACATTTATATAATTTATAAATATATACTTAGTGGGAATATGCTTAAAATTTAAAAATTTTTTCCACTGAGACTGTGATAAAAAATATTTGGTGACCACTGCCCTAGATGAGTATCAAATATCCTAGGTTGTAAAAAAGTTGCTGATCATCATTGGCACAAGTTTCCTGCACCAATGAAATCGCAGCTCCAGTTTTAAAAAAGGTTCAAATATGATCCTAAAGAATTATGTGAAATCAAATAATATCTTCTCTTTTATTACATTATTTAGAATTTCCATTTTCATTTTTTATTAGTAGCTAATTGGAAAATAGGTATTAACTGTTCATCATTAAGTTTTTGTTCTCAAAAAGAATAGTTAATGATCAATTTTAATGAAATTTAAATCCATGAGAACTGTTATTTTAAAAGGAATACGGCAACTGATACTTCATTAATAGGTAAGAACTACCTCTGGCAAGTCACTTACCATTTGCTTCAGTTTCCTTGTCTGTAAGATGGAAATAATATTTGTAGTGGCTACCTCACATAGTTGTTGAGGCTCTAATGGTAATATGTTTTCCTACAAGATAGTCGGCTATAGATGCCAGCAAACATCACTACTTCAAAACTTAAACAGATCTACCACCTTTTATTGATGTAAGTACTCCTCTGTATTAGTGAAGATAATACCACACCTATGGTCTTTGAAGGACTGTTTCACTTTTTTTTTTTTTGGGTAATCTCAGGGCCTGGCAAAGAGTAGCTATTTATAAATGCTTACTGATATGACTGTGTGACTCTTGTCCATGTTTTTACATAGATCCTCAACAAATAAGTTTCCCTGTCCCTAACATTATTAGTGTTCCCTGCACTTAAAGACTGGAATCCACTCCAAACTGGTGTAACCTGAACTCTAACTGATGGGGGCAAATAAGGTTTATTGTTTGTTACCAAATCAATGAGCAAAAAAATCCTATTGTGTAATATTGTTCTTAGTTCATAGCTGCTTTTGTAGTCTCATGTGACAATTATAGTCAGAAGTAACATCTTATGTCTACCGTAGATATTTTTCCCAGTTCTTTCAGGGTACTACCGCTATTCTGATCACTCAGGCCTAATACCCATCTTCCTTTAATTCCTGTATCAAATAACCAAATTCTGTCCATTTCTTTCTTTGAAAGCTTTCTCCTGACATTCTAACACCAATCTAGCCCAAACTCTCATGACTGCACCTTTCGAGAGGTAGGAGGGTTCAGACCAATGATTTTATTAATGTCGGGAATTCCTTGATAAAGGCCTCCTGTGACACTATGCCAGCACTCCATTTCTGTTTCTATGCCTTAAATGGTCATCTTCCTCATTTTCACCACTTGGAATCTTCTGTCTTAAAGACTTGGCTCAAGCACTACCTGCATGAAGCTGTTCTTGGTCACCACAGATGTTAGCACCTTCTTCTCCAAGGCCACCTTGAGTTTCTTTTGTATGTACTTTGTCCATACTTATACATAAACATGCTGTCTTCCATGTTAGACTGTAAACTCTTTGAGGACCAGGACTACTTTCTCAATTTTTTTGTATCTTCAGAAGTTATCATAGTGCCTGGTACATTGTAAATACTTTAATACATTTTAAATTAGGGATCAGAAGCTAAGAAACCATATATAATTCTCTTCATTTCTAAATCCTCACTACTGCATTGCTATTTTCCATTTTTATACTTATTAACTCTACCTCAAGATTTTACCTATAGTGTTCGGCTTACAGCAACATTAAGTATGATTAACTTCACTGAAACTCCCAGAGAAAACAAAAAAACCTAATGATGTGCTCTCAGATAGGCATGTGCCTTACTTTTGCAGTTTGTATTATCTATTGTACTTACAACTAAGTTCCTTTCGTTTAGGATTTTTATTAAAATACTGAAGCAAAGTCTCTACGGACAACAGTAGTCCAAGTTTCTATTTAGAATTTACATGTCAAAAATACATTACATAGTAAACTATCAACTATCTAGAACTGTATTTTTGCTTTCCGATTTTCTAGTATTCATAAGGAAAACACTAAATAAATTCATTCCTTGAAAGAAGGAAGGCAATTCCTTATCACTGACATAAACAGTGATTACACTTGGCTACTGGAATTCTATACTATTTTTCTTAATCTTTGAAAATTCCTTGATTTAGATTTTTAATTATTTTGGGATATTAGAATATTTCTAATAAATTTTATTTCTTTAAGAAGTTACATACCAGTTAGCAATATCTTTGTGAGCTACTAAATTCTGTAGGAATGCCTGAAGTCCCAACTGTCTATCTTCTAAGAAATCGGCATTGTAATTATCCTTGAACCAGCGTTTTGGTGGAAGAGCCAGTCGAAAGCCTGGAAACATTTCTTTTAACTGGAAAAAAAAGATTATAATCCAGCAAAAAAGGAGTTAAGAAAATATTGAATATAACTTTAAAAAGTGAGCAACAAATGTGGACTAATCCATGACATATTGCGAAATATGCTCAATTACAGAATTAAAGATTACAAAGTCCTTTGTTATTCCTAGATAATAAAATAGTCACAATGTAATTAATGGTTTAAGCTAGTAAAAACTTCATAGTGAAAAATTCTTGAAAGTAAAATAAAAAAAGTGACAGGACATAAAGATGTCAATATATAATGTAAGAAAGTTTCATTAAGCAGCAAGATACAGTGAAAAGAGTACTAGTTCTGGAGTGAGAGAACATGGGAATTCAAATCTCACCACTGATGATGTATAAAATGGGAAAAATCACTTAAGCTTCCCAGGCCTTGATTTCCATATCTGTAAATTGAGAGGATGAAGTAGGTGGTCTCTATGGTCGCTTCCAATTTTAAAGCTATGAACTCTTGAAAAAGGCTAAATTTTGTGTATTAGATATATGTGACTTATTGTGTCATTTTCTGTCAATACTCCGATACTCATCATATTCCCAAATTTTCTTTCTAAATGGACTTCTATTTTGATCACACATGTTGAACAAATGTGTGAGGAAAGCACACATTTATATAAGCTCCCATAATAAATTATAAACTATAGTCACAAAATAATGGAAGGAAATAAGGATTAGTTTTATTTACTTCAGTGCTAAAAAATTTAAATATGCTGATATTTTAGATTAAGTATAGAATTTATAACTTCCTTTCCTCTAAACTTCTCTATGCTGACCTCCTGCTCCTCTAAAGTCTGTCACTCCACCCTATCCTGTTTTGTTTTTTTCCACTTCATTTGTTATCTCTTATTATGTTAATGAGCTATTTCTGCAACATAAAGTAAGTTTACAGGAGGTAAGAACCATGTCTTACATATGTTCTTTATCTTTTAAAGGGGCTAGCAGAGTATTTGAGCACGTGAACTAAGAAAAACTTAATTTTTTAAACAGAAGAACAAAAAAAGGTTTTAACCCATGGCCAGCAGAACCAAGACAGAATTCCCCTCTTTATAAGTTATATGGGGCTCTTTAAAGTCCCTAGCAGCTAAAATATGCTATAATATAATAATATATAGTTGAAAAATTTCTTATTATTTATCTAGATGGTAATATGAATATTGTATGTCTATGGTAGGGAAGCAAGTAGTTTTTACTGTTTTAAGTCATACTAATATCTTTTTTCAAATAGCTTCAAAATTCTTTTGAAACCTGAATTTGCTTAGGATTAAAGGTACACTGACAGTGAAGATGAACTTAGTTGGATAGAGATAAAGGGCTAAACATTTAATACTGTGTAAGCCATAAAAAGGAAATGGACAATAAACATGAAAAGATTAAAGAGCTTTCAACTGAGCCTGTTTTATCATGTTATGACTCAATAAAATTACTGTTAACTACATAAGAAAGCTCAGGATTAAAACTTCAATTCTATATCAGATTTCTAATAATGAAACAAATTACTTTGTTCCTCGTCAATAAAAAACCTCCAACAGGACAAAATTCTAGCTCCATAACTTAACCGTCTTTTAAATGCTACTGAAACTCAGAAATGTAATGAAATTTCATATAGAACAGATGTTGTTCCAGAAACACTGAACATTTCCTTGAGGACACACCTTATTTAGTTTAATACCAATGTTAAAATACATCCAGAAAGGAATGGTAAGAAAAGACATTGCATCTAAGTCAGAGTGCTTCAGGTGTTCTAACATAATCTGGTATTCAAAACTATATCTCTTCTCTTAGATTTTGAAGGAGATAGAAGTATTCGTCTGAAATAAGAAATAGTCAATGATAAAGATTTTCCTGGTAACTAAAACATAACTGCAGGTTGTTTTAAGTGACCCAGAAGTTTGGTTGATAAGTATTTTTCTCATACCTTAAAAAACAACTTCCAAGTAATTTTAAGTGTATCAGGGAGTGAGTGAAGAGAATTGGATTGGGAAATAAAAATATTTTTGACCAAATACAGATTCGTGTATATGAACTAAGGCATTAAGGGCTGCTTTCAGCTGCTAAGGTTACCTACAAGATTCCAATTGGTGGGAAAATTTTTCAGGATTACAGTCTCCATTAGTGCTCAATACTGAATTGCACACTGAACATAACAGAGAAAAAAGCCAGTTGCTATTCAAATTGGACTTACATTAGTGTTATTTTGGACAATTCTAGGATGCCTCTAGTGTCTTAAAATTTTAGTGAAAATGAAGTGGCGCTAAACTAACAACCAGTGGGACCATAAAGAGAAGCAAAAATACTAAATATTTTATTATAAAGACAAAAAGGTGCTTCTGCATAATTTGACTGCAGACAACATTTGTTTTCCACAGCAAAGGGCTCACTTGGATTTATTAAAAAGAAATGTAAAAGTAAACTAAAGAATCGACTGCAAGACAATTCACATGAAAAGTTAAAAGCTAGTTTCAGGAGACACAGCAGATCAAATTACTTACTTTGTCATTCAGCCTAGAGAAATCCGTGTATCTTCTGAAAACTACCCAGCTTTCTTCTGGGCTTTTTCTTATTAGCACTTTATATACCTGTACATAAAATAGCATGAAAAGTATGAAATTTCCAAGTACAAATTTAGTGAAAGGATATATTTTAAAAGCATAAAATGTCAAAGCTAAGGTTTAGTTGTCAAAATTAATAGAAAATTTTGGTACACAACACTGAGGAGGAAATGTGAATACTGGTCCCAGATCTGAAACTAACTATGTAGCTTCAAGAAAAATCACTAGTTTCCATATAAAGTACTGGAGGAAATAGTCTACTACTTCTAAAGTTGTTTGACACTATGAATGCATTATTTATATGTCAGCCATTATTTAACTGCTTCAATGTTGCCTATAAGCTAATAAGGAAAATCTAAGATCAATTTAGCCCAAAATTGCTAATAATAATGAACTCTTTGGCTATGTGAATATTATTCTAAGTCAACAACATTTATAATTAATGGTAAAAAAAAAAAACAAAAACAAAAACCAAACCTAGGATTGCTTGGAGCAGCTGTGAAAGAAACAATATGATTTCAAAACTTTGCAAACACTAAAATTCAAAAATTTTTTCAATATTTAAAATAAACCTGGGGCCTGGGAAACAAAAAGGTATACTTACTAGATTAATGTTTTTGAATCTACAAAGCAGCAATCTATGCTACTCAGTAATAAAATGACTAATGCAAGGCAACATATTTCACCAAATATACAAAATAGAAATAAAATTTACAAACACAATTTCAGAAACTATTCCTATTTATAATAAAACTTTTTTAAACAAAAAAAAGCTGATTTTTAAAAAATAAGTACAGTATTTCTGAAAATTCTGTCCTCTAAACCTGCTGTCAAACACAGAATCTTTTATTTCTAGCTAATAATCTAGAGTCATCTTAGAATGACCCAAGAGGTTAGCCCTTTGTCTCTTCCCTTCCATCATGGAGCCCCTTTTTTTTCTTTTAAAACATAAATTTTTATTGCTACTTTTAGTTTTTACATCATCTAGATTTTCCCCTGTATCCTTTTTCCGTAAGTTATACCTTGTATCTTCTCCCCTCGCTGATATTTTTTAAAGGAAAAGAGAAATTAGAGAAAAAAATGAGCAAAACTAATCAATACATTAAAGAAAAATACTGACATAAGCAATGTTCAACACCCACGGACCTTCTACCTCTGCAACGGAATGGAGGGAGGTGTCTTTTTACATCTTTTTTTTGGAGTCATAACCTGTTGCTTATAATTTTGCCACATTAATTTTGATTACTGTGATTGTCTGTTTACAATATTTTCATTAACATAAATAGAAAGTATATTGTTTTGTATATATTATTTTCTTGGCTCTGAAAATGTAATTAAGAAATAATTAACAAAATAAATAAAAATACAATAAAACATAGGTAATCTGACATTCTAAAACTAAGTCAATATGTGGCCTGTAGGAATCCTTACTTACAGATTAGTGGCTTCCATTTCTATTTTTTGACACCACTGGTATAGACAGTTTTGTCACTCTGTTTAATTCCAAACTGCTTTTCAGAATGGCTGTGGTAAATCATAGCTCCACTACCAATGCATCATTATGCCTGTCTTACCACAATCCTTCCAACACTGGCTATTCCCCATATTTTGTCATGGAAGCCTTTTTCCTGGGCCACTCAACTTCTCTACCAAAAGGCAGACTGAGGAAGAAAAGTGAAAATACCAAGTCAGTTCATCTACTTAAGCAACACAGACCAAATTATTTGGACACCCTCTGGATCTCTAACAACTCTGAACTGTAGTTAAAATAGGAGCCAGGCAATGAGGGTTCTAGTTACAGATTTCCTTTATATTAATATTAAATATTTAAATAATTAAATATTAAAAACCACCAAAAAACACATGAAATAGATGAGGTTCTTAATAGAGTCTAGGTGACTCGCAGATGGTCATATAGTCAGAGGTGGGACTGGAATCCAGGTGTCTTCAGACTATAAGTCTATGACTCTTTCTACCATCCCACACTGCCTCTAAATCTGTGACTGTCCTATCAATTAAACTATGAGCTCCTTGGGGACAGGAATCAAGTATTAAAACTTTTCAACCCGTACAGCTGCTACAACAGTGGAGCAATGCTATGTACTATGAATGTTCAAAATATATTCACTAAAGAAAATCCTAATTGAAAGCATTTCTTAAACAGAAGGCAAGAGTTTGCCTGTAGTGATTTATGTCTTTTCATTTCTTTTGCATCTTCAAGTGTAGCACTATTATAATGGGATCTTCAGATTTTGAGCACTCAAATGTTTGAGCAGCAAAAGAGCCAAGAGTTGAACTTTTATTCCTTTTCAAGTAAATATTATTTATGTTTCTCAGAGCTATTTCAGGCTTTTAAATCAGTTCCCACAGTTCAATATTAGTTCTTTGCAGTAGTGTCAAAAATTTTTACTTTTCAGTTTTTCCTAGTTTTTTTTCTCTTCCTTGACAATGTCCTTTTTCAATTATTTATTTTCATATCTAACCCCAAGGCTTTACTGTAGTATCATACTCTACTCTACCGTTATGAATGAGTGGTGGGAAATGTTCTGTTGATTTGTATTATCTCTTTAAAATGTTTTGCATGAAAAGCCTGAATTTTTGTCAAGTACTTCAAGTAGGCTTGAGGGAAAAGGCTACAAGAGCTACATGTAGCATGCTTAACACAATGAGTTAGATCAAGAGTTTTTAACCTTTTATAGTGTTGTGGACACCTTTAGCAGTGTGGTAAAGCCTGCGAACCCCTTCCAGAATAATTTCAAGTGCATACAATAAAATATACACAATTACAAAGGAAATCAATTATTTTGAAATGCAGTTGGCAAAATATTAAAAAACTAAGTTCACAGACTTCAGGTTAAAATACTAAGTTAGATGATGCCACCAGTAAGGTGAGATCTATGACAGATACCCAATGTCTATTGGTTACAAGGGAGAGTCAAAATCAGAAACTGAAGTACGGGACAGAACCTCATTCTGGAGGCAAGGGGAAATGAGGTTAAACAATGAAGCCATGAGCATCATATTTTCCTAATAACAATCTTCATGAGTAAAAATATTGGGATATTATTTTACTAACTATTTCTACTTCCTCATCTCATCCTTTCACCTTTCATTTCACTTTTACCTGTAGCTTTTGGAATGATTTCATTTTAACATAAATATAAATCTAACAGAAGTCCTAAGCAAAAATCACCTAAGAGTGTAGAGAGGACCCTAGGTCAGGGGAGGGGAACCTGCAGACTCAAGGCCACATGTGGCCTTCCAGGTCCTTGGGTGTTGCCTTTTGACTGATTCCAAGGTTTACAGAACCAATCCTTTTATCAAGGGGATTTGTTCTGTTAAGTTTTGATTCAGTAAAAGGGCTGCACTTGAGGACCTAGGGGGTCACGTGTGGCCTTGAGACTGCAGGTTCCCCACCCCTGTTCCATTTCTTCTGCTCTTTGTAGTTTAACTCCTCAGAAAGAGCATTTATCATAGGTGCCTTCCCTTTCTTTCCTCTTACTCTTTTCTTAACTGTTTAAAATCCGACTTCTGATCTTATCATTCCACTCAAACTGCTCTCTTCAAAGTTACCAATGATCTTTTAGTGACCTTTTTCCTATCCTCATTCTCCTTGACTTCTTTGCAGCCTTGAGACTGCAGATTCCCAACTCCTGCTCTAGGTTCTTTCTAAGTAACCCTCTTTAGCCTAGAGTGATGGCAGCTAAGTGGTAGTAGGGATGGTAAAAATAAGACTTCGTTAGACTATGAACATTAATGTTGTTAATCAAAATATGAGATCTTTTTCCAAATGATCAACCAGTTGATGTACTACTGAGAAAATTAAATCATTCACCTAGAGGAAAGTCTCCAGCATACTGGGTGGAAGATTTGTGGAAAGGCAGAGATAAAAGTCACATAGGATGAGTAGCAGACAGATGGGTTGTGATTTTCATCAGAGGAAGTACATAAATGGATCTGATCAGTCAGTAAAGTATAAAATATTTTAAATTTAAATTACACTTAATTTCTCAAAATGTTCTCATCTTTATTATTTCATTTGGTCCTCACAACAATCATATGGAATAGGTAGGGTAGTCTGATAACACTGCATTTCTGCCTCCCCAAACAGAAAGTTCCTCAGTCAGATACCCTGCTGTATTGGTCTAAATTAACTTTTTGGTGGAACAACTCTAGAACACAAAAGGTGAAAGTTTCTTCTGTTATGCCTGAGGTACTTTTGTAGCCTTTTTCCTTCCCCTCCTCCCTTTCAACCTTGTTCCCACTTGATTTCACAACATCTTAGAAAGGCAGGGCAAGATTTCATTATATAAATGGAAAATAGCTAAACTATTTGGCCACATCAATTACAGTTAAAGAGATGGAACTAGAATGTATTTAGACAGTAAGTTCAGAGTTTTCTGAAGCGTGTGTGTGTGTGTGTTTTCAATCATTTTCAATTGTGTCTAACTCTTTATGACCCCATTTGAGGTTTTCTTGGCAAAGCTACTGGAGTGGTTTGACATTTTCTTCTCCTGCTCATTTTACAGATGAGAAACTGAGGCAAACTGAGTCAAATGACTTTCTCAGGGTCACTCAGCTAATAAGTGTCTAAGTCCTGTTTTGAACTCATGTTCTCCAGACTTTAGGGCCAGCACTCTATTTACTGTGCCACCTAGCTGCCATTAGTCATTTCTATTTCCTTTTCTTATCCTTTCGTTTCACTTTTACCTACAGTTTACAGTATGATTTCATTTTTATATAAATCTAAATCTAATAAAAGTTCTAATCAGAAACCACCCAATGGTATATAAAGGACCCTAGGTTCTAAGTTCTCTTTAGCTCCTTTAGTGATAGCAGCTGAGAAGTATTAGAGGTGGTAAAAATAACTTTTTTAGACTATTAACACTAATGTTTCTGAATTAGCTTATGATTATATTTGAGAATTAAAAGACTTTTGCTTTCCTCTAGACCAGAATTCTTAACCTTGGGTTAGGCTCATGGAGTCCATGATCTTGGTTGGAGGAAAAAAAATATCAACTCTATTTTCACTAACCTCTAATTGAAATTTAACACCTCCTTCAATTATGAATTAATGTAGGCAACAGACACTACTCTGAGAAGGGGTCAACAGGCTTCATCAGACTGCCAAAGGGGTCCATGACTTGGAAAAAAAAAGTCTTTTTCATAGCAAAACAGGATTAAGATCAACAGAGAGGAAGATTTCATGAATGGCAACTAGACCTTGCAGCAATGTCATTTTTGACATGCATGTAGCAAACCTAATACAGGTTAATACAGGCCTACATAACAAACTGTAAATCTATATAGTATAAATCTATCATTTATAATATATATATATTATTATCAACATATAGTGGATTAATCACAACTCTTATCCTAATAGCACTACTATTAGAACTTACTCAAACTTAATCCTATTCTATTTCATTCACTAACACAATCACTGATACCCATTAAAGGACAATGACCTGAGTAGATATTTATCAAATTGAGTAGAGATATCAAAATTATTCTCACACATATGACCAGAAAGAAGTGGGCTGACTATGTAGCAAAAGTGAGGCACAACAGATGAATACTGTAATCATGAAATATTACAAAAACCAGAAGAAAGCTTCTCGTATGCTGAGTGAATACTTTGCAAAGGATTTATGAAAAGGTAAGTTATTAGAAAGCAAGGAGAGGTTGTGATCTGTACCAAATGGACAAAACACCCACACTAGCAAAATTATGGATTTAATACATTCAGTGAAACCAAGGACAAAGAAAATCAACAATATCAATTCACATGCCCCTGTAGAAGGATACACACTATACTTATGGAAAATTCAATGAATATTTAATTTCCAAAAGCACATACAGCTGATTACAGCACCATTTCATAACTCATTTAAAGCACTGGGACAATTATTATCTTGAATCCACACCTGTAAATAACTTTATAATACTAGAAATGAAATGGGTAGTCAAATGAAAATATTTTTATGATTTTGGGATCTCAATATATTTTTTTCCTTTTTTTCTCTCAAGTATTCTTAATACTTACAGTAAATTTAGCCCTTTCTTCCATCACCTCATAACCCAATATAGTAGGTGTAGAGGGTCTTTCTTCCCAATTCATAGATTCTGTACTTTGTTCTTCATTTTCTACTGGCCTAGCAGAATATTCAATGGAAGATTCTATACCTGTAAATTTAGTCCTAATAAGGGGGCTGCTACAGATAGATGAATTGCTGTCCATTTGATCTGGCACTGCTGTCTTTTTGTAACCATCCACATTAGAATCTTCTGATTGGCCTTTGGAAGAATTTGAACTTGTTGAAATACTCCCAAAAGAAGAACTTCTTTGGCTTCTGTTTGTGGTAAAATTTGAAGAAGAATTTCCTACAGGAATAGGCACAGGGACATAAGGAGTTGCCATTCTCTTCAGCAATACTGCAGCAAATCTATCAACTTTTGCATCCAGTTAAAGAGAAAGTAATATAGATGCCATTGCTTTCTTCTAAAGAATTCAATGTCTAGAAATGAAACAAAATACATAATGGGTGAACACTAATTCGGAAAAGCCTGTATTTTCAGAAAAATAACACACATTGATTATTATAGCCAATTGTTTGATTAGGTATACCTTGTAAAACTCCTCCCTGCTTCTCCCAAAGACCTGAGGTTCATAGTGCTATATAAACTTAAGATCGTACTCATACATGCAAAAGCACAATTATTTCATAAATCAAAGTAAGTACAAATAACTTTCCCTTCTTCCACTCCCCGTGGGTGCATGTTGTCCTTGATACTTTTTCCCTTATTTACATAAAAAAACACAGAAATAAAGCAATATATACATTCCTAAATATGATAAACTCTTTTCATTGAGGTTCCCCCCCCCCCCACTGACTGCTTTGTACCAAACTGCTGGGACTCAATACATGGTCATTAATTATACTATCACCATTAATTTTTCCTCTCTTTAGTGCAGTTTTTACAGGTATCAGCAGACTCTCTAACAGGGAAAAAGTTAAACCCAAAAGTTTATCTTTCAATCTATGGAATAATAAAGTAATTAAGTAATCATGTGATTATATACCAAGGGATAGATAACACACATTAAACTACGCTGAGGCAAACTAGCGGCCTCAAACTAAGCAGGTCAATTCAACCAGCATTTATTAAGCGCCTACGGGGTGCGGGTCGTTCACCCAGCTCCGGAAATAAAGGCAAAATACAGTTCCTGCTCCCCAGCAACTTTCAGCCTAAGGGGGTGGTGGAGGTCTAACAATAGGTGGCATTTACAGAGCTTTAAAAAGTTTGCAAAACACTTTACACACGTTAATTCATTTTATCCTCAACTCCTCCTCAATCCAGACCCGCATCAAACACGCACACGTCCAACGCTACCTTCTCCATCTTCCAAGATCCGCCCACGGAGCTGCTGAATCACCCTAAGCAGCCGAGGTCCCACACGCCAAAGGCAAACACAAAACTCAACCCTCAAACAAACCGTGTTCGGAGGCCGAGCCATTACTTCTCCAGCTCAGGAAACTGAGGCAGGCGGGGTCCGGGAGTGGCCACGGCTCGGGGTGCCGTATGAGGGGAGGTGGGGTCGGACAAACGCCAGGCCACCAAACGCCGAAGCCAACACAGCAAAGCCCGGGCTGCCCCGGCCGCACCTCGGGGCAGGTGAACCCGGGCTGGGCGCTCGGCCGGCCGCAGGCAGGCGGGGGGAACGGGGCTGGAGACGGGGGGCGACGGAGCTCCGAGCAGGCACGACGACGCGAGCCCACCGAGGCCAGAGCAGGCTTCCGGGCGACGGCGCGAGCCCAGACCGCCCCGGCCCCACGCTCGGCGCCCCGGCTCCCCCACGTGGTGCCGAGCGCGGCGGGGACGGGGGGCTCGCGCGGCAACGGCCTAAGCCGCGGCCGGCGGCGGCGGCGGGGCGGGGGAACAGGTGCCGCGCTCCCCAGCCCCCCCCTCCTTCCCCGCTCCGTACCTCAAAGGGGCCACGACCGTTAAACGGCCTCCCGGGCGGCAGCAGCGGCGGCGCCAGAGCTCCGGCCTCACGTGACCCCCAGCCCGGCCCCCGCGCCGCTCGCGGGCTCGCGGGCTCCCGCTCTCTCGGGCCGCAGCAGCCCCCGGCCGGCTGCGCTAAGACGCCGGAGGGAGAGCCCTTGGAGCTCCGGCCGTCATTCGCCGCGGTGACGCTACGTTCGAGGGGCGGGTCGTGGCCTGAGAGAGAAACCGCTGGAGCTCTGTCTCCCGTGGGAGGAGCCTAACGTCTCACGACCCAACGTTTGTTTTTATGACCGAGAGCCTCAGGGATGCGAAAACTGCAACTCCCAAAACGCCGTTGTAGGCGACTGGAAGACTACAGTTCCCAAGATGCCCCGTGGCATCGCGGGATTCTCATTTGTGCCCGACCTGGGCAGGTTTAATGACTTTTGAGGAGGGAGGGGGATGTGGGGGATGGGTGTACAGTGACTTAAATGACTGGACCGCGGCACTCAGCAGGAGCTGCCCTTCACGCTCACAAGTCCACCCTGGCGGAAGGCATTCTGCTAGTTTGGAAGCAATGCTAAGCTTAAGTGATAGGCAAGGAAACCTCTTATGGTGGAAATCAAGACAGTGTGTGTTTGGGGCGGGGGGGACGTGAGAAATGTGGAGGGAGAATCAATAAGCTTTCGTGACCGAAGTGAGGCAGAAGAGAAGAGTCAAAGACAGCACCAAGGCTTTTCACGTGGGTGACTGTGATGGTGCCCTGAACAAAAAGAAGTCAAGAGGAGCAGATTGGGGGAAATTTAATAAGTTCTGTATTGGACAGGTTGAGTTTGAGGTGATAGGAGACATCCTGATGGAGATGCCCTATATTCATTCACTCTAAGAGGCAGTGGCAGAAGTGGAAAGAAATAGAATAGTTATGGTCATTTCAAAACATTAGCGCGCTCTCTCTCTCTCTCTTTCTCTCTTTCTTCCTTTCGGCACCTCATTGCTGTTTCATATGAAGTTTGCAGTTCTTTGAAATCTGTAGATCTAGCACAGCTCAAGCGAAGAATCCCAATGCCAACATTTATCAGCCATGTGACTGTAGGCAAGTCACTAAACTTTTCTGAGCGTGTTTCCTCATCTGTAAAATTGGAGTTAATAATATCTGTAGCATCTACCTCATCAGGCTGTTGTGAGCATCAAATGGGTTAATGTGTGTAAAGTGCTTTGCAAACCTTAAATGGGAGGTAGCTATTTAAGAAGGTGGTATCTGAGAATGTGGATTTCTGGATCAACGCTCAATTGATAGAAGTGACAAATTACTGGCCAGGGATGCAGTGCCTGTTGAAAGTGCCGATAAGAATGTACTTCCTTCTGGTCTTGCAAATCTATTCACAAGAGTGTTTAATTGAGAAGGAAGGAATATGGAGAAAATTGCCTACCTATAACCACCAAGCTAGATATCATAGAGAGTCATTACAATGTAGAAAGAAGAATAGCAGTAGAAATGCTTACAAATTCACAGGAGACAAAAATTCAAGAAGGAATCCATTCATAAAACCCAGAATTCACAAAATATGACCAAAAGGCAAAGTGAACTTGCATTTGAAGACACAAATTTAACTGCATGGGTATTACTGAGACTTGGTGTAAAGAGGCACATGAAAGGACTGGAGGGTCATGAAAGCTCTTGCATGGTCAAAAGGAAAAGATTGGACCAAGGGAGGTGGGCAGAGTTGCATTGTATGTTAAGAAAATAAAGACTCATAATGGGGAATCCAGAAAATGGGTTGAGTGAGGTAGGAAGCATGGTGATGAACATGTGAAGATCAACAGAAGGAGAATCATAAGAATCATGAGTAACATTGGAGTATACTACAGATCACCTGAACAGAAACAGGAAATAGAGGAGTTCAAAAAACAGCTCACATGTCTGATGCAGAAAGATGATATAGTGATAGGGGACTTTATTTATAGTGATGTCAATAAGAACTTTGCCCAAAGCAGAGTAACTAGTAATTTTTTTTTAACTTGCCTTAATGATAATTTCATCCTTCAAAATGTGGGGAGGTCAATTAGGGGAATTTCTATTCTGGATCTGATCCTCACCAACAAGGAGAAATTTATTGCTGGGGCAGAAATCTTAGTGTAGCACCTGGGGGAACTTCCTTCTCTCACACTTTTCATATAGGTCTAATAAAGCACCTGGTGGAACTTCCTTCAACTTGGATGTGGGTCCAATATAGCTTGCAGGACTAACCCAAAATTGTACATGGGTCCTACAGATTCAAGGCCCTCTATGAGTCTGTACCTACTCGAAACCATAACTTATGAATCCCCAACAATGTGTTTACTTTTACTAGTCATCCAGAGGGCACAATTAATTGAGTCACTTGTTTTCTGAATTACTGTCCTCATTTGCCATCCAGACCAGAGATCGTGCCTTAGAGTTGTGCCCCAGAACTTCTAGCCTGAAGCTTTGCTGTCCTAATTGGTAGGTGTCTTTCCTGGCTGCCTATTTCAGGCCAGCTCCAAGTTTCTCTTTACCCCCGGGCCATCTTTTTGATAGGTGCTTTGTCTCTTCATACTATCTCTCCCTCACTTCTCCCTGCCCCCCCCTTTTTTTCCAGAACCATGATATAAAAGCAAAACAAAATTCTGCTATTACTCCTGGAAGGGGTGTGTTAATCTCCTTTACGGCTCACACTCACTATCCCAATAACTTTTTGGACCAGTGGTCTTCCATAGTCATCAACAAAGGTTGTATACCCCAATTAGAATGTAAGCTCCTTGAGGTAGAGACTGTCTTTATTTTTGTATTTATGTATCTCCAGCATGCAGCATAGTGCCTGGTACATACTAAGCATTTAATAAATACTGTTTCCATTAATTCACTTAACGAAATAGCATAATAAGAAGAGTGTTAAATGTATCCCTACCATAAACTTGGGGCATAACTCTCCCACAAATTTATACAACAATAAGAAGAGTGAACCTACCTGAGGAACATAGGTGAAGGGTCACATATGTGGAGGGGTGCACCTATGGAAAACATTTGGCCAGAGTAACACCATGGAGGGACCATTATACCTACAGTGTAATAGGGATGATATCTTCTGATGATGTCATCATTCTGCTCCTTCTGACCCTTCTCTCCTTGGTCTTGTGTGGAGTGCAGTCTCTGCCATTTGTTACTCCCTAATGGACTCTCAGGATTGCTGTTAGACTGTGCTTTGCTGGTCCAGTGGTTATTACCCACTACTTCCAGGTGGGGTTTTGCTGGGCACAAAATTGATTTTATTTCTACCTTCTGGTTTCCATGGGAATCCTTAGCTAAGATGTAACCTCTTCTCTGTAAAAGAATGAGAGGGCTCTCCTATCACTTCTAGCATAGAGCCAGAGGTTTAAATTACAGTTTTTTTTTTTTGAAAGGCTGGGCCTTCATATACAGAATTCAGGGAAAATAAAAATACTTAGTGACTTTTCTACCCAGTAAGAAGAATTTGTCAATTCTCAGAACTTGGCTATAATAGTTGTTTATCCTCTGAAAGGAGACTCTTTGCCCTAGACATCAAGCTATTTGGCACATAGAACAGCCTACCAAATAAACAATGCCCAAGTTTCTACTTACGGAGGGCTATGTCAATGACCATACCCTTTATCTGACTTGGTATTAGGTTGTCTAATTGTACCTATTCAACATCATTTTAGAGTCTTCCTTTCCAATAAGCCACTAAAGGCTGTCTGGTTTGAACACCAGCCTTCACCCATTACCCTCAGTTTTCTCAACTACAAGATTTGTTTGGTCTTCCAAGCAAATGAATGGAACCAGGATGAAAAGAAAAAGCTCTGGGTGGATCCAATCGAGGGGGCATTGTTCTTGCCCTGATTCATGTGTTTATATTTATATGTGACCTGGCTCAAACTTTTTCAGAATGAGCTACCCCTATATTAAAATGTACAGTAGAAAAAGAGAAAAGCTGGGCGTTGTCTTTTATGCCTCCTAGATTTTGGAAGAATAGGTTTCAAAGGGTTTAAAGCAAATATATGTTGGTTGGCACGGATATGTGTAATATAAGGGGAATCATCTAGGGGCGAGAAACTATAAAGAATGAAATTTTTCCAAGGAGTCGTGAATGCCGGATATGGATGCCTTCTAGTCAGAATGGAAATCTCCCAACATTCCCCCTCTATGCCTTTCAGCAGCTCTTCTCTGGACTGATACATCTGTTTTTGATGAACACATCATCCTTCAACCCTAAGGTTAGAAAAAGGGTAGAAATAACATTATAATATAAATGAGCTGGCCGGGAAACAAGGACAAGTGCCGATGAGCAGATAAATAAGGCCACTGTTACTGGTGTAATGTGAGTAAAGGTGCCTATTTGAGAGTTGTTAGGACATGACCATTCCAGTGATAGGGAGCCCTGAAGAGTGAATGCTGGGGACACCAAGATGTATGGACTAGATGATTTGGCTGTTCAGGAACCAAATGGAACAGATACTGATTTCTGGAAACTTCTAGACTGCTGAGAATAAAGCTAGTGATTTCTCATTTCTCTGTCCTTTCTCCTTCCCAATGTTACTTCTAGGGGTAGAGGTTTACTGAGTGCATTCTCTGTTGAACTTTTGTTTTAAAGATAAATATAGTTAACCATTGCATTGCTGATCTATGTGTTTCATTACTCAAAACATACA